TGTGACGGTACAGGGCACAGAACAGACCACACGAACCTGCTCATTGGACTGAGGCCTCTGATGTGTGAGTCCATCTTTACTGGTAGGGTTAGTCCCACAGGGTGGGGACAGGCTGTGTGTGGCCCCTTAGGGCTGGCTTAACTGAGCACCTGCATGCTTGTCCTCTGCCCTAAGTCTACACTGGGGACAGGTAAAAGAGAGCGCGACTCTCCGGAAAGCAGTAAGAAACTGTTTGTTTTGCAGGATGGGATGGCCTAGGACGTAGCTTAGCTGCTAGACTGCTTCCCCAGCATGCACAAAGCCTTGGGTCAGGTCCCCAGTGCTGGACACACTCCCACACTCAGGAGGTGGGGGCAGGATGACCACACGTTCAAGGGGGTCCGTGGCTACTTATGGAGTTTGAGGGAAGCCTGGGAAATGTGAACTCTTGTCTAAAGGAAAAATTATTTTTTAAGAAGTGCCTGGGAAAATCCTTTTTTCTTGCAAATATTCAGAGCTTCCACCATCAGGAACTGGAAATACACCTTTGCTTGCCGTCTGCCACTGAGGTGAACAATGCTACCATGTTCATCTACCACAATGTTCCAACTTCGCCACAAGCCTAGAACTACAGAACTGAGGGACACGGACTCTGAGGCCCATGTAATCATAAGCTAAACGACTTTTTTTCTGCCTAAAAGAAAAGAATGAGATGGACAGGCAAGGGTGGGAGAAGAGGGAAGGGGTGGGGGGAGGAAGCTGGGAGGAGGAAACATCCAGTAGAAGCAGGTTGTTTCCAGCCAAATTAGTTCCATCTATCAACACCCTCGACAGTGTGCTCTGCTAATTAAGTAGTTGTGCTAACTGATTTCATTATTGCAGCACACAGGGCAAGTCTTTCCCACGAGTCTGTAACCACTCTGAATGCTAACTACGCCCTGAGAACTCACCACTCACCATGTACTTTCCAGCGCCGAGTTAGTCAGGACCCGTGTCCTGAGAGAGTAAGAAACGGGGTTGTTGTTTCCAGTGTAGGGTCCACTGGGCATTTATTTCTGTAACAGTCTGGTCTCTTGGTTCCACTCCCAGCATTCTCAAGGCTTCCTGACACTTGAGACTAGGTCTCTAAAAAATTTCTTTTGCCACCGGTTCCCTCTTCTCCCAGAAGGGGATGCTAGAGAGCCACAAGGCTCCTTCCTGTTCAAATCAGCCACACCCAGGCCGGTTTAGGAGAGTTCCAGTCCCAAACCTAGATCCACCACACATCCTGAGAGAGGCCACCCCCTCATCCCCCGAGGCTCCTGCAATGCTCCTCAAGCAGGGCTGTGGAGGTCTCTTGGGCTGCTGTTTCCTCTTCCTCCTCTTCCTTCTCCTCCTCCTCCTTTTTCTTTTTTCCAAGACAGGGTTTCTCTGGATAGGGGTGCACACCAATGCCTGGAATCATCTTAAGCTTCTAAATTGGGATAATTCTGCTTTCTTGAGCCCTCTCAAGCCAAGAATATACACACCTGTTTCCTGTATCCCACCAAGATAGTTGATCTGTTGTGTTGTTCTATCGATTTCGTAAGAAGTTAAATTAGCTGTTAAAATAGCTTATAGAGTTTCTGTATTTACCCATATTGCTTTTAAAAAAAAAAAAAATCTTAGGACTGGAGAGAAGGCTCAGCCATTAAAGAAAGGCTGAGCTCACAACCAAAAATATAAAGAAGCATTTAAGTTTTTAAGTATGTGTGTGAGAGGCTATGTGCACATGGCTGCAGTGATGGTGGGGGTCAGAGAGGAAGCTGGAGGTAGAGGCTGTTGCGAGCCCCCTGGCATGGGTGCTGCACCTTCTGCAAGAGGCGTATTGCTAACCACTGAGCTGTCTCTCCAGCCCCTTCTGCTTTAAGATAGAGTCTGCTATGTAACCCAGGCAGGTCTACAGCTGAAGATCCCTCCCACCTCTTGGTCCTGAGTGCTGGGTGCTGGTGTGCACCAGCTCACACTCTGCTTGCTCTAGCCATCACTAGAGCTGACTCTGAGAGTAGCTGTACCTGAACTGGAGTCCGTCTGTGTCGCCTGCCACATCTGGTAACTGGGGAAATTACAATCTGCTTCCCTAGGTCCATTTTCCTTTGTATAATTTATATTGCACACCCAAGTGCCTGGCCCTGGGCTAAGCACATAGCTACAATGGTATGCAAAACAAATTCCCTGGCAAATCCCCACCCCCAAAATCTTCTTGTATTAATTGGATGAGAAGATATGGGTTACTTTAGCCTGCCACAAAGGCACATTGTCAAAGGCCTCCTTTCCAAGCTGTGACAGCAGATCAAAGAGTTTTAAAGGAAGAAGAGTTTCAATAACCGAGTGTCTTTGGAGAATGAGGCAGATGTCTTTCCCCAGCAAGGTGCTGACCCTGTCAGTATGACATCGAGAACTCACCGTGTTATGCCCACGTGTCCTCTCCAGAGCACAGAAGCAGTGGCCCTGCAATGGCATTCATCCAGAGAGAAATGGGACAAACCGCTGCAGAGAGGGACTCCCACAGGTAAAGCCCACGACAGTGAACATCAGGGGCTTAAAAGACCACCACAGCCGTGATACAGGGCTGGACCTGGCTCTCGAATGGCCTCAGAGAGGAGCGAAGGAAGACTTCCAAAAGTGGGTATTCCAACATCGGTGACTGTAAGGACAAATGGAGGGCTGGGGCTGCACATCCCTGGCAGAGTGCTTGCCTGCTGCTGTGGTCTGAATGTGAACTGTTCCCCACAAGTTCACGGGAACACTCGGTTCCCAAGTAGTGGCCCTGGAGGAAGTAGGTCACTGAGGGTGGACCTTGAGATTTTACAACATGGCCCCATTTTAGGTCACTGTTTCCTGGCTGCTGGTGCAATGTGACCAGTTGCCACCCATTCCTGCTACCACGCCTTCCTTATCACGACAGACTACATCCCGTAGAGCTGTGAACCTTCTTTAAGTTCCTTCTTTTAAAACAATGTGTGTGGTAGGTGTATATGTTTATATGGGTATGTGCACATGTGTATATGTGTGTGTCAGGTGTACATGTTTATATTGATATGTGCACATGTGTATGTGTGTGTGGTAGGTGTATATGTTCATGTGGGTATGGGTACCACGTGTGTGTGGGTGTAGTAGGTGTATACGTTCATGTAGGTATGTGCACATTTGTGCACACATGTGTGGAGTCTTCCCTATTGCTGTCCACCTTGTTTTATTTTGAGACACGGTCTTTCACTGAACCAGAAGCTCACAGATTCAACTAAACTGACTGATCACTGAGCAATAGGGACCCTCTTGTCTCCACACACACACCTGCTCACCAGCCCTGCACTAGAGCTGCGGACACAAGGCATGAGGCCTGGCTTCAGCGCAGGTTCTTGTACCTGTGTGGTAGGCACTGCACAGACTGAGCCGCCTCACCAGCCCTTCAGCTGCTTCTCGTTAGATCTTTTTGTCACCGCAGTGTGGAAGGTGACTAACACAAGTAGTTAGTGATATGGAGCCCTGGGTTTGACCCTTAGCACCACATAAAATGGGCATTATGGCACACACCTGTAATCCCAGCACCTGGGAGGGAAAGTCAGAAGAGCAAAAGTTCAAGTTTGTCTTCAACTACATAGGTCTGAGACCAGCCGATCTCAAAAAAGAGGAAGGGGGGAGAAATCACAACCTACTTTTTGTTTCTGAGGTAGGACTGTACAGCCACGAAGAGCAAAGGATATGATCAGATGAAAAAGAGAGAGTCAATATTCTGTTTAAGCCTGAACCCAAAGTCCCTCAGCTGTGGGTAAGAACAAGCTGGAATGAAACCCGATTTCTCCATCTGACAGAGGCTTTCCTTGGTCTTCTATTGTCTCCACATCAGGCACACGGGGGACAAGGAGCCAATGTTCTTACTACCATGACAGTGTTTGTGTGACCCAGACTCTTGACGGCCACATTTATGCAAACTGAACTCCTCACCTTCACTATGTCACCCATTTTGGCACGATTATGGCCATCAAACGTCACCGTAAACGGGAGTCAGCCACGGGAAATTATTACTAGAAGGCCTATTCCATATCCTCGCTCTAGGGCCTTGTTAGAAGTAATTTACTGTCACTGGAGAATGCGGAGTCCACAAGGCATGGAAAGCCTGGGGAGAGATTTACTCATAAATAAATGCCAACGCTTAAACAATAATGACAGCTTCAAACTCCAGGACGACTGAAATGAACAATATACGCCGCCTGGCTGATTTATTACCGCCGTGGTTAGGGTCCAAATGGTGAGATAATTCAATTCCACCTGAGGAGTCGTTACATGGCCGAGCCTAAGAGAAGTGCTTTGGATAAGAGGCGGTATTTCTCAGGTTTTCCATTTCAAACAAATTATTTCTGTATTTAGGGTATCACTCAGGCAATTCCTCTCATGATCTGTGGCACTCTTGGGCAATTAAAATAATGATAAGGTGAGATAACTCAGGGACAAACGCCAAATCCAACGTGATCACAGAATATTGAAGGAGCCTGGGAGCAGGCTGACGGCTCCACACAGGGCAAAAGGATCCTTCCTAGGGCGGGAAACCTACACTGAGCCGTGAGCCTGCACAGCAGCAAGAAGACTCCTCAGCAGGGGCAACTGCTAAGGACAGATGCCCCTCCAAACCATGCTCCTTACAGACGTGTGCACAAGGCATCTCCCAGGGAAGTGGAGTTCACACTAAGCATTTACACTAAGCAGAGTCTCACTGGCCCACGGCAGCTCCCCCTTACCAACTCAGACATTCACACCAGTCTTGGTGTGGAATCTATTTGGGGATTTTTATTTCTTTTGTGTGGGGAGGGGCAGGGGGAGCAGGAGCTCACCTAGCCCAGGCTAGCTAGCCTCAAACTCATTTGGTAGCTGGAAGTAGCCTTTAGTGCATGGTTCTCCTGCCTCCATCTCTGGAGTGCTAGGGCTACAGGCCTTAGCTGAGGACACCCACAAGCAGGGAAGGGCAGAGTGGTCCTGGCCGGTCAGAGCAGGAGTTTACGTACCATCCAGGCCATTGTGATGACTGTAGTTTCTTTTCCCCAGAATGCTCAGAGACGTGTGATTCGGAGTGGTGAGCATCCGCTTGGTGGTTGGCGTTTGCAGGCTCGGTGGAGATCGAATTACATTAGGTTTCTTTGCAGGATGGATCTCTGCAGGGGGAGAAAGGCTGATCAGCTCAGAACATGGCATTGGAAATCTGTATGGACTCTAACGCCAGCTAATAGGCACACATCTTTCTTAATGAGCTGAGAGTCCTTCCTTAGGAGCCAGCCACGCACTTGCATAATGAGGTAGCTTCAAGTGTTGTTACCATGGCTCTGCTTATCAAGGGAACCTGCTCCTCCCCTGCCGGCTGGGGCTCTGAGCCTCACTTGGATTGTGAAGACAAACAGAAAAGCCCACTTCTGAAGGTCACTTGCAAACATGAGATTTGCTAAGGGAATATAGCACCTGGCTCCTCGGCACATCGGAAATCTGAAGATCAACTGCAGGGGCAGCCTCGGAAAGCCCCAGCCTGCGCTGTGTCCACCAGGAGCGTGCAGGCCCATCTGGTGTGTGAGCGTTCTAGAAATGAGATTCCTCCTCTGGCTGTGCAGTCAGCAGGTCTGGGACCAGCCCTGAATACTCTTAAACCAGAACATTTCCATAAGGGATGAAATTTGAAACCGGAGGTCAAACACCATAGTTAAACCGTTGATGGCACACTTTGACCCAGGCCATGTCAGTATACTGTAACGTGTGCAGGGTGTGTTGTTTAGGGTCTTTACTGTGTGCCGCAGAGCCCAGCACCACTGTTCTCTCCACAGACATGCAGAAACTGCAGTATCACGGGAAGTGATTTCAAGACCTCCGGCCATTGTTAGTATGAATACCTCTGCTCCAAAGCTTCACCCGTTTGCTGATCCTCAGCGTTGTCACCTAGCACACCAACTACACTCAAACCAGCCTGTCCTCTCACCTGTTCAATGTTGAGGACCAAAATAGCCAGATTTTCAGAAATTTAGGAAAAGTTACTCAGACTGTTAGAACAACTATATGACTTGGTCTGATCAAAATCTTACAATTGTCAAATTTTAGGTCTGACTTGGCAGTACCATCTGAAACTAACACTGTCTTCTAACAGGGCACCGATGGCTCACCAGCCTTACTTCACCCTGAGGGAGACCATGAATTTCCTTAACCTTGGGTACACTGAAGCCTTTGTCTCTCTAGTTCTTTCAACCTTGTGAGATGTGAGAATACTATTCCTATTTTTTTCATCCATTCAAAACTTACAAAATTTTCAAGGCTAAGATACATACCTACTGCTTCCAAGAAGGCAGACCTATCGCCAGAGATAACCACTCCCAGGGCGGTGGTACGCATGAGGTCTGGGCTCAATTCCCCATCCCTCACCACACACACACACACACACACACACACACACACACACACACACACGTCCTCCCTCAATGCACCTAGTGCATTAAATTCTCTAATTTATCACATTTAATGCTTTGTTTGATTGCTTTTACTGTGTGCTTTCCCCACTTAACTAAAAGTTTTGAAGGCAAGGTTTTATTTATTTGGTGTCCCCCAAATTATATTCCACAGCAGCTGGAATACAGCACAGACAGAGATGGGGCTCAGCTCAGTTGGTGAGGGTGGAACAGTTGGGACTTATCTGGTAGGGACGGGGTAAGTTTGCCCACAGGAGAAAGGCACAGAAGGTGGTCTACTCTGCAGTGCCAGGTGGGAAGGGGCTCCCAGGGGCGGGTTCCAGAAGAGACTATAACAGTATCCTTCAAACACCATTACCCAGCACGCGCTGATAACCATGTGATGCGTGGGAGGATGAGAAAACAAGCCTTGCTTTTCTTCTGTAACTTGTTTGGAGACAGAACTCCTGCAGCTGAGGCTGATCTTGAACTCCTAACCCTCCCTAGTGCTGGGACTAGACAGGTATTCCAGGGTTATTTTATTTAGGCAGGGTCTTGTGTAGGCCAGGCTGACTTGTTACTCACTATGAAGCTGAGGCTTCCAACTCTTTAACCTTTGAGATCTAAAACAGGAGCCGAGTTGGCAGAGTAACATCAAAGATGGAGCTATGGGCTTCCCAGTCAGACAGCACATCCCAGTTCAAGGGCACCCTTTGATTTTTCAAAGATTAGATGCCTGAAGTCTGAGTACTTCAAACACCTAAGACTTCCTGACGGCAAAATAAGGTTCAATGCACCTCAGAGTATTTCACCTTTAATGAGAAAATGAAAAAGAAATATTGGAATCTCAAAACATGTGTTCTTCTTACTTCAGAAAGGAAGCTCATTATTTTCTCCATTTATCTTAAAACTTTAGGAAAATGTTATTGCTTAGTAATTCTTAACACTACTCTTAGCTATATTTATTATATACTATATATATTTCAACATGTAAATAGAACCATAATCTTTGAAGATTTCCGAGTCCCAGGCCATGATAGATACTAGAAAACAACAGAAATGCTTCCGTTCCAGCACGGTCAGGGCATTAAAGCTACAACGTTCATGTTTCTGAGGCCCAGGGATGCAAACCCAGAACACTGCATTCTCGGTACATGTTCACCAGTGATCTTCACACTTCGACTTCATGGGGTGTGGGTTGTTCTGTTACTGTGGTTTTCTGTGTGTTTGCCTTTTGTTTTTGAAGGAGGGCATTTGCTTTTGGGTTTTGTTTTGAGGCAGGACCTCATTATGTAGCCAAGGTGGACCTGCAACTCCTGGTCCTCTTGTCTCTACTTTCAGAATGCTAAGCTACAGCTATAAGCCACCACTCTTGATGCTTTTGGTTCTTGAGACAGGGTCTTGCTAGGTAGCCCAGGCGGCCTTGAGCTCACGGATCTTCCTGTCTCTGCTGAGTGCTGGGATTACAGGCATGCGTCATTGTGACTGTTTTTTTTTCTTAAAGGAAACTGAAAATCAATTTAATTCAGTTTTTAAAACAATCCTCTATCTAAAGGGAAAGGTATATTAGAGATAGCATAGGGATCTAAATACAAATTAAAATGTTTAGGATATTCATCCTGTATTAATGAATAATTTTTAAATACCCCTCCCTTATTTGTTAGTTTCCTTGTTTTTGTTCTTGTTTTCAGGCAGGCTTATGCTAGGTGCCAAGCTGCTCTTGAATTTACAGCAATCCTCTACCCCAATCTCCCAAATGATGCCGGGATTATAGGCAGAGGCCACCATATGTGACTTTTTCTCTTTTCTTAGACTGTGTCTATCACAGTTAATACAAATTTCAATTCAAAAAACAACTAGAAGAGGTAAAGCATATATACTTAACTCCATTTATTGATAACAAGTTTCTAGTCCAAAATGAAACTATACGTATAAAAGGCACCCGATTTTACCCACTCGAGACCCTGCACGCAGCCCGGGTGCGCATTTGGAGCAGCGAGATGCCTACAACACGTAAAGACGTCTCTCGAGGTCTTCCTGTGTTAGAAGATACCCACCTAAATACCCAATGATACATGACAAAGGTTTCCTAGTGCTTTTGCTTTTCAGCGGGCTTCCAGAAAGTTCGGCATGTCTGTCTGCATCTGAGGAGAGAGAGAGAGACACGGGACAACAAGTGAGGTGGTTTCTTCTAGCTTTACCACACGCCACAGAAATTAAAGGTGCAGGTGGAAACAAAAACAGAATGCCCGCCACATCCCCCTACTTCCTCGGGCTTAGAGAAACCATTTGGGCTTTGGATCCCTGTACTGAACGAGGGGCTCGCTGCGACACTCACATTAGCGTCATGTGAGCGTCGGTCTCTCACACCATGGGTGCTCACCTGAAAAGTGACAGAAACAGGCTCCCCTTTGAGCGGTGACATTTTTACATTATGGTAGAAAAATAGTCACAGTACATTCAAGGTGGGACCAATTCTAATGTAAGATTAATTTGGCTTGAGAAAAAACACAAAATGACAAACAACACCTGGCAATGTAACACAGTCGCCACCCCGTGTTAGCTGGAGTGGGCCCTTCTGGGAGGCCTTGACCTATTCTGACAAAACTCAACTCCATTAGACGGCAGTCTGGCAGAGCCATTTGGTTCTCACTGTTCTGGTCTTCATTTCATACAATGATACTTGGGCTGAGATCTTAAAGGTTCCTATGTGGATCCGACAGTCACACCGTGAGGGCGGACACTGGGCACTAAGTTTTCGTCCCCTCATAGCCTACCATAAGATATTTCAGGAAAGGAAGTAAGGCATACAACACAAACACCATACTCTGAAAGAGCTGTCGTTAGGATAGAGTCAGCGAAATGCTACCACACCAAAGAGCTGAGGTCAAAATAGCTGAAGGGACTGAATAAAGCATGTATGGAATCTTGAAAAAAACAGCCGTTCCCAAAGCACATCAGTGGCTTTAACTGATACAGATCTATTATGTTTATGCTTGGCCCCATCTCCTCCGGGTTTGCTGATCCTGCTGGGATCGCTCCCAGGCACAAATATAGAAGCTGCCTTTGACATCCATAGGTCTTCTCTACATTTACTGTCAACACACATGACTCAGTTTGGAACCTCAAGTAACTTAAAGATTGACTTTGTCATGAGCAGTAGCCCTTTCTTGTCAAGGAAATGTTTTTAAAAGCTATTAAACAGATGGTGGAAATAGCATTTTAAAAACCATGAAAATAGACAAAGCACAAGCTGCAGGTAGCTTGGAAACACCAGGAGTTTGAGTCAGCGCCCAAGCCCTGTTTACCTATTACATAACCACTGGCAACTATAAATGATCCAGTAGTTCCCTCGTCACTCAGCTGATCACCTTTGGGAGAGTTACTAAATCGTGAAGTTTTTCACCTGTCACTGAATAATAATGACGATAAAGGCAGAATTGAGCACATTTTTTAACAAGCGTATTTAGAAATACAGTCTAAACAAAGATCAGAAGCAGTCCAAACCCTGCACGGATCAAACAATAGTCAAACCACTAAACATTTACACCAAAGTTCCCTCTTCTTCTGACAACTTTACCTAAAATTCTAGTCATGTTTGGGAAAGAGATAAGAGGAAATGGGTTTTGTTTTCTTCTCCATTAATTCAAGTAGCTTGAGAGAATCAGCTTGGTAGATTCATCAGCATTTTGGACAAAGGCACTCTTCATTGTCCTAGGGACAAGATGAACTTTACCCTTCAGTCTGCACCGCCACCAGGGAAACTGCCCCCGTGGCTACAGCTGGCAACACCAGGACACTACTAACACTTTGACGCGAGCCAGCAAATGCTTCAAAGACGGTCATCAGCACCGGACCCATGGGGTTCACTTTGAACCACAGCAAGTTGCCTCTAGTTTCTCACACTGCTAAGCACCAATTATGTGGTTTTCCCAGGGAAAATTTACAAGTTTCCTCCGGAGATCAAAGCTCTCTAGCAGGATCCATATTTCACTAATAAGTCTATTTTAAAGGAAGTTGTTGGTGTTGGCAGTTATCCGTCAATTATAAAGAAATTAGGATAAAACGGGCTAAGATGGCCCTAGCCTTGCTCTACCATAAGAAAAATGGTAGCCATTCAGTAGGAAAAACCCATTCTGGAATGTTCGCAAACCGGATTATCTGATCCACACTGCTGTAATCCTGGTCTACCGCCAGGTGACGCCACACTGTGTGCCACTGGTCTGTCTTGATCTCCTATTCCTATCTCACCATCCCTAGCTCAACAAAGACAGGGCATCACAAGAGTGCGGATAAGAGGAACAGCTAGGGCTGCCCACAAGCCAGAGGGAATCAAAGCTGCCCAGAATGGAAGGCAAAGTCTCACTGGTCACTGACGGGGCACTAGGCTCATCTCTTTAGCTTCCTACAGCAGGGCCTGCATTTCTTTGAGGCAAGCATGTAAGAACAGTCATACTTTCATGCCCTTTCTCTATTGTATCGGAAGTACTGGGGGTGGAGCGAGATTATAAAATAAAAAGACTGCAAAGTAGACGAATTAAGACTCACAAACAAGGGCTGGGAAGATGGCTCAGTAGGTAAAAGTGCTTGGGCCACAAGGATGACAACCTGAAATTGGGAGTCTGGAATTCAAGCATGCCCCCAGGAGAAGATGGGAGATAAAGGCAGGAGAGTGTCGGGAGAGCAAAGGACAGCTAGCCCGGCTTATGAAATGCTGTCTCAAATGACACAGGCAAGGGCTGACAGCTGATGGTTGTCCTATGACCTCCACAGGTATGTCCTGGCACGTGTGAGCCCACACCTCACTCTCCACACTAGTAACCACACACACACACACACACACACACACACACACACACACACACACACCATAAAATTCATAAAAATATATTGATGTGGGGTTTCAATAGAAAACCAAGAGAATTTGTTTAAACATAGGGACTCAGGTTCTGTAACTGTTTTTGACGGAAACATTTAGCTGTGTCTGGTGGCACTTTAATCCCAGCCCTTTGCAGGCGGAAGAAGGCAGATCTTTGTGTGTTCAAGGTCAGCCTGATCTACAGAGACTCTCTCTCTCTCTCTCTCTCTCTCTCTCTCTCTCTCTCTCTCTCTCTCTCTCTCTCACACACACACACACACACACACACACACACACACACACACACACGAAGTTTGGAAAATACAACACAGACAAAGGTCAACGACAAAATGGGAGGAAGGTATCTGTAACACAGATCTAGAAGTAACCTTGCTAAGATAAGTTTCCATGGATCAGGAAGACGTCTAACATAGCACAGAAAAGGGCAAAAACAGTTGACAGGAAATACACATTGCCTTCCAATCCTTGCAGTGATTTTCTATGTCACTAGCAATGCAGAACAGAAGCTAGTAACCAAGCCTCAACCATCACCTGGCTAAAGGCGTCAAAGATGGGTAACACCTCTGCCATGATTCTTGAGAGTTGGGCATTCATCCACTTAAGACAGTGGTTGAGAGTATAAACTGGGTTTTAGGAAGGCAACTGGATAATAGATATTAAAATTCAAAACGCATGATGACAGTGGCTGCCTCTGAAGAATATATCAAGATGGAAAAAAGTTATGTGATTTGGAACCAACGCATAACTTAAAAAAAACAATTTTTTTAAGGACCAGAGAGCACAGCAGTTATAAGTACTTGTTGCTCTTGCAGAACCCACACTGTTGCTGGAAACCATCTATATCTCTAGGTCCTAGGGAGCTGACCCCCTTTTGATTTCCATGTGCTGGACATAGATGCGGTACACATACAAACACGCAGGCCAAATACTCATACACATAAAATAAGTAAATTTAAAATTTAAGTAACCATTCAAGAAAAAATTCTGACTGAAGGTAAATACTATGAAAAATGGCAAGAGAAGCAGGCCTAGATGGTTCTCTCCTGCCACTTTAGAGCTTGTAGTTTCAGGAAGGTTTGTGTAATTGCTAACAGTAACTTTGGTTCTTGTTGAAACATCTGGCAAAACAACAACCAAACCTCCCCATGTGACAAATATCTCAAGAAATGGGGTCTTGGATGTTTTCAAAGTTGAATTCACATCTTTAAACAAACAAACAAATCTCTTCCAGAGACACTAAGTGACTTCATGATGGGGTCACCACTGCTGTGCGAACTAGGGGCTTAGTCAACTCTGCAAGCGAGCGAGGGGCAGGCAAGTCATCGGACCTGCTCCGCTAGGGAGTTTAACCTTGCTGCCGATGCCCCTTAAGTCAGCTTCAGTGTGAGGATTCTGGATGACAGGTATCGATCCTTCTGTGCCCAGGCTTGTAAACAGTTTTGGTACATACATATCACATAGGTATTCTGTATGCTTGTTTTTGTTTTGAGGTAGGATCTGGCATTGAACTCACTATGCCTCAAAGGAGTAGCAATCCTCCTGCCTCTGCCTCCTGAGTGTTGAGATCACGGGCACCTGCTGGGAGGTTTATGTATTTAATAGGAAATACAGTTCCATAATATATGAGCAATGAGATAAATCTCACCCTGTTTTCCCTAGTCTCTCACTTCCCCTCCCAGTTACTACTAGTTCTTGCGAAATCCCCCCTTTGCAGTATTGCAAGCCTTAGTGCATGCCCCCTGATGAAAATAAAAGGCTGATGAGTGCTCCCATAACCAATTAAAAATGCCCTCTTAAAATAGGGATTCCCTACTGAGACATGCTCTTCAGTGCTGGACTGCGCAACCCAGGAAGCAAGTTCAGGGGCTTCCCTCTTCTGTATCCTAGTGCCCTGTATCCCTACAACACTGGCTACAGTTTCCAACACTGTATTCAGTACAACTCTACTCTTCAATACTTTAGAATTACAAGCTTCCACCTTTTCTGAAAGAACATCGGAACTGTATCAGTAACACTTGTGATTTATAGAATGGCAATCAACACCGCCTTTGAGAAACCGAGGAAAGCTTACGGGAAAAACACAGACACACATACACACATACATGCCCATATAAAACACAGACACGCTCATACACACATACAGACACTCACACACAGATATACACACATATTACACAAATGCCCACACAAAACACACACGTACACACAGACACACGCACAATGCATATATGCATACACTTACACATACACACATCACACACATCTTCATACAATACAGACACACACACACATCACACACAATACACACAGATACCAGACACACAGACACACACACACACTGAGGGCTATTCATTTCCAATGGATCAGAGAGACTAAGTTGCCTATGGACATTAGGTTACTCACAGTTAATCACACTTCAGAGCCGAGATAAAACATCTCCTGAAGAGGTTACAGCGAAGCACAGACAGAAGTGAAAACACGATGTAAAATCAATTAAATGCTAGGAAAGGAAGCGTTCAGTAAGTACATTGGGAGCAACAGTGAAATTTTAAAGTCGTAGGATAAAATTGTTTAAAAGTGTGATTATATATTTCGATGAAGATAAATATGAAGAAAAAATATGAAAGGTTTTTTTTTAATTTCACCACAACAAGTGACTGTTCTTTCATTATTATTTCCCATGTACTTGAACAAACAGAATATAGACAATTTAACCCTAAACCTATTTCTAGCAGTGTGGATCTTCGACTAACACAGACTAGAATGTAGTGGCACAATTCATTAAGAACAATCGGACCAGAGGTGATGTGCAAGCAAGCTGAAGATGAGCAAAGAGCCAAGGCGAAGGCAGCTCTCCCTACAGGAACTGTGCTGAGGGCTTCTCTTCCATTCCCTAGAAACAAAGACGATGCTGGGCCCCAGCCAACTGGGATGAGAGAATTCCATTCATTTTCTGTCTCAAATGTTTAAATTACCTCCTTTAAGAAATTATATGAAAATAATAAGTGTTTTAAATCAGCTCAAGGGTTTGGGTGGATATATTTATTTCCCTGTTCCTTAAAGTGAGAGATAAAACAAAAACACAAAAACAATTCTCTGAACTCAAAAGCGCCAGGATGAAATCAAAGGCAAGCCTAAAATTTCAAATGCTCACGACCTAACACCGTGGATTCCCTCCACGTGGGAGACTAAACTCTCGCTCTTCTTACAGGCTTTTTACCTCTAAGCTTAAACAGCTTTCAACTTTCTGCTGAAAAATTATTTTTAGAAATAAGAAATTCCTTTTCCGTCATCATCCCTTTTATGGGCATCTTCTTCAAACCAAAGTGGACATCTCATAACAATATGCTTTTATGCTTTTGGCTTTTTGAGACAAGGTCTTCTGTCACCTAGGCTGGTCTTAACTCCCTATGTTGCCAAGGAAGACTTTCAGCTACTGACTGATTCTCCTGCCCCTTCCTCCCCGGGGTTACAGGCACACATGGGCCACCACACCCTGTTTCATAATCAATTTCTTATTTAATAGAAAAAGCACCTGAGTTTCTTTAAGACTGTCTATCTGTGAAGCCCACAGCCATTTTTTAAGATCCTTTAGGGGGAATCTGTACAGCTCTACCAGCCTCGTATGCCTCCGCAGCTAATACAAATCGTGTGTAGGTTTTCCGCTATGTGGCAATGAGAGAAGCGCCCACAGGTCAAGCAGATAACCTTTGTTCTAACAACAGCAACACAAGAGAAACACAAGCGAGACTGAACGTGTTGGAAGCAGGAGCCTGAGTCAGAGATGCTATGAGATAATGCGTGATTATGAAATGGAAACCAAACTGGACAGACACTGTTCAGCCACAATGGTGCTAGTTTGTAAAAACTAAACACGTACATTCAGGAAGTTTTCTTAAAGAGGATTCTTACTTAGATTTACTTAAAATTGATTATGCTGTCTAACAAATACGGGATTAGTTATGAAGCACTATTCTCTACAATCTGAATGAGGACAGCAGAAGGCTCCTGGGAGGGTGGGGGATTTGCTGAGACATACTAACCAGTATAAATTAGTAAATTCTATTCGAACCTAATGGATCCTTAGGACAGGATTGTGCTGTCTCAGTAGGGAGTTTTATCATAAGACAGTCCTTTGGGTTTACACTGCCACACTACCAAACAGGCAGAAGTGCTTTGGTTAAGGTCCCTCTGGGCCATGTGTCGCAAAAGCCCACTGGGTAAGGTCACCTCCCCGCCTTCTGATTAGCTCTCCTCTGAAAGTCCACAGGGACTTCAGCGCTGTTTGTGAGGGTGGTATGATATAAATGGCAGCAGACAAGAACAATGTTTAAAAAAAAACAAAGGCTGTACACAAGAACTTATGTTTATTGCAAACAAACAAACAAAAAGAGAGCGAGGGAGAGAGAGGATGGTGAGCGGAGCAGAACGGTAAGGCTAAGAATTGAAAAGCGTCTTACATTCTGCCCTAATGGCAGCATAATTAATAGCAACAAACGGCCGTCTCGCTGCCTGCCGCAGCCGCAGGGTGTTTTTGCAGACCTGACGAGCAATTTTTGTGAAATATGTAGTATGAAGGAAGAAAGCTTGGCGGGTCTTCACTGCAGACTTGGGGCTCCCAGTGTTCCGGACCGGCATGCCCTGCATGGCCTGCCGGGACAGGTGGCTTCTCACACGTGGGTCCTGCAATTGCGGAAAACAATGGGGTTTACAGAGGAGAACTTGCCAGAGCACATGGCTACTTGCACCGTGTTCAACGTCCTAGGAAGCACTGTAACTCAGGGAAAAGCATTGTGCATGTTTGGTAAGAACGTGGGGGGGGACAGCATGGCAGGACGGCACTCAATCCCAGTTCACATGCACTATCAGTAGGAAGCTGCCAGAGTAAGGCTGTTTACTGTGAGGAGTCCGGGGCCGGCATCGGCTCCACGGGGCCTAGCTTCACTCTGGTAGACACTGGTGCTTGACAGCCTCGATCTATGAGGATTTCCAAGGTCACCCTTCAATTACTGTTGACCCAAGACCCGGCTCTTCTTGTCCCTCCACAATAGCCGAGGGAAGAGAATGTTTAATGCCCGCTTGGTATTTGATGTAATAAGGTTTGCAACAGTATCTAAAGGTTACAAGCTGTTTTGAAATCAAGATTGCTTATAAGCCCCCACTCAGACAAGCGCCTCCCGCACACCTTATCCTTTTGCCTGAATAATCTCAAAAGACCAATATTTTAAATACCTGAAAAAACAGGACTTGTCTCTGCTTCCATGTTCACACCCAGCCTGGGTGTGCAATGCTGTGTTTAACTCTAAAGCCCAGCTTTGTTCATCTGTAAAGTGTCCTGTGTGGCATTCCCGCTTCCAAGGAAGAAGCCAGTAACCCAGAGACATGGCGTTTTCGGCCCTGCAAAGACCACACTCACGTACCTCTGCAGTAGGGCTGGGAGACTTCTGTTCTTCTGACTGGGTGGGCATTTTCAGACCTCCATACTTTTTCCAATACAGCCAACAGGTTGCACACAATCTACATTGCATATTAGGCGGGCCCCAGGAATACCACTGGTGAGACTGTGTGGCTAGAGACAGAGGGAGAGGGGCTATGAAATCCGTGGTCTCACACTTGACCTCAGAGACACCCTGAAGCCACAGCTAGTACACTGTTGTCTTCTTCCCAAGGCTGTAGGCCAGGCATGTCGGTATAGCACACACATGACGGCATAGCACACACATGACGGTATGTACAGCACACACATGTCGGTACAGCACACACATGATGGTATAACACACATGACGGTATGTACAGCACACACATGATTGTATAGCACACACATGTCGGTACAGCACACACATGACGACGGTATAGCACACACGTGCATTTTTCAGCACTCTGAATACATCGAGCCGTTTGTTTCTGCCACACACCAGTGTTTGTCACGTCTATTATGAGAAGCTATTGGATAACACATCTTGACTCATGCCTTAGGCTGCTGAGATTTTGGTTTGTTAATTAAAAGTGATTTCATTATGTACATGTCTGGATATTATTGTTATTAAGCTCCTCAGCAGTGTTTAAAACCTGAACCGTATGGTTCAGAAGTTCTTGCAGGGATTAATAAGGTACTCAAGAGGGGACTCACTGGTAAGTGAGGAGCCAAATAAAACCAGAAATCTGTCTGTTGTTCTTTACACAGGAAACAAAAACCTTTAGAATTTCTTTCTAAACACAGACTGTCCTGAAGACTCTAAATCCCTATCACGTGAGTACGTGCAGCAGACATGGCGTCGTGTTTAGTAAGGCCTGACCCCGCTGCTTGACTGCTTGGCTGGTTAAGCTTCTTCAGCTTAACCCTGTCCCTCAACACTAAAAGGGAGAGCTAGGGACAGGTGAGGACAGCGGTGGTGACAGGTAGTTAAAACCACAGCAGAGACTGCAGTACCAACTCTGTGAACTGTGCTCTCCTTGCCTAGAAGCTAACACCATCTGGGTGAAGCCATCAGCTGGCACAGGAGGGCATCCTCTAAGGAAAACCTCACAACATGCAAAGGGGAAAGTCAGAGCTACAGTGCGGCTCAGAGGCAGAACGTAGGCTGGGTATACAAAGGCCCTAGGTCTGATTCCTACTTCCATAAACTCCTAAAGAGCGAACTGCTTTTATACAATCCAGAATAACTTACACATTCATCAGGTGCCGCTCTTTTGGGGGTGGGGGTTTTGAGACTCACAGAGATCTGCCTGCCTCGGCCTCTTGAGTGCTGGGATTTAAGGCATGTGCCACCACCGCCCTGCCATCATGTACCACTCTTGGAAGATTCCTTTTAAAGAGAAGCCTAACCCCCTTTTCTCTTTTAACTAAAACCAATAAAGTTGACTTTTTGAGACAGATTTCATCAAAACATTTTAATTACATGTATATATGAGCGCAAGTGCCGAGGTGTTGGAACCTCTGGAGCTAAGGTTACAGATGACTGTGAGCCACCTGACATGGGTGCTGGGAACCAAACTTGGGTCCTCTGCAAGACCAGTGTGTGCTCTTAACCACTGAGCCATCTCTCTACTTCCCAGTTAACTTTGTTTAAATAGAAATAAGAAGACCCAAGGTTGTCTCCTAGCCTACATACATGCACACACATGCGTGTGCGCGCACACACACATTCACCTCCATACATATGTGTACCCACACAGGCACGTACATATACAGCAGAATATCATTGTGCTGTGGTTCAAATTCTCAGGAGGCTGAGCCAGGAGGACAGTGAGTTAGAGGTCAGCTGGGCTTCATAGGGAGACCCTGCCTCAAAAACCCAACCCAAAGCAACAATGACAGAAAGGAGAGTTACTGCTGTTTGAGATTTTAAGTAAACATACATGGTGTCAACTACAGATCAGATCATCTCACCAACCCCATATAACACAAGAGCACACATAATAACCTTGCAAGCAGAGATAAATACAGCAAGGCCCGAGGCCCAAAACAAATATCATAGCATGGCATTTCCCCAACTGGTTCCCTGGGAGCCTGAGGGCTGGAGCACTGGTGTCTCCACACCTGCCTCTCCTCCAGAAGCATCAAGCACATTTAATTTGTGGGAGGATGCTGAGGAACTCCAAAAGGGGATGTGCTATGTAGCACAGTACCATGGTTTGGGCTAAACAAATACAACTACACACAGTTTAAAAGAAAACAACAAAATCTGCCAGCAAACACAGAGCCCACAGAGGAAACCAGAGCAAATGCACACTCTCCTTATCTGTGCGGTGCGAGGGTACCCAACGAATGCCCCTCTGCTCCCAGTGGGAGACCAGGACAGGCACCCCGCTCACTTTGAAGAGATACCACCTGCCTCTGCACAGCAGTAACATGACTTCTAGAAGCTTCTCTCTTCCTCCCTTCCTCTGCCCCCCACCCCAGTGCAGGACAGCCCCCCACCAACCAGGCACCACCTCTGAACACTCACCATAGCAGCTCTCACAGGCTCGCCCGAGGAGGGTGTTCTGGGGCTGGAACGTGGTCCCCACAGCTCCGTTCACAGTGCCAGCCTTGCCATTGCTGGTGGATATTTGGTTGGGATTTGGTTTGCTGCTTTCAATGAAACGTAAAATGAAATGATAAAAATAATTTGTAGGACAAGGCAAAAAGCTGGCACCTCCTTACTAATTTACCTTCACTAAAATACAAATAAATACTTATTATATTTAGTGAAGAAGAAACAGACCGGCAAAAGCAGGATGCTAAGATGAACCCAAGTATGGGAGGCAGTAGAAGGGAGCGAATGAGAACGCAGGATAATGACAGGCACGCATGAAGATGCTATGATGAACCCAGGACTTTGTATACTAACCTAAAAAAACAACAATAAAGCCAAAAACTTAAGGAAACACACGCACACAAAACACCCTTAATACACTGACACACATGATTCCAGGAACTTACATAAGAGGGTGTATCTGGTGGAATGGTAAGAAATAAATAAAAAGAAATAAAACCAAGGCACTCATTTATGACAAATAAAGCTATAAAACAGCCATTGTGCCGGTGAATTCGGCATCCCCTGGGTCTAAACCAGTGCCATTGCTTCAAATATTTGAAAGGAGTCTTTCAAAATATTATTCTCATCATATATTTTCCTGAGAGAATATTTTTTTGGATTGAATAAATTAGGCTAAAGGCAGTGCTATGTGACTGAGATAGCCCTGGCACCGCTCCTGGGGGGGGGGTACTGTGTGACTGAGATAGCCCTGGCACGGCTCCTGGGGGGGGTACTGTGTGACTGAGCCCTGGCACCACTCCTGAGGGGGGGGGTGCTGTGTGACTGCTGGGTGTGGGTGACACTGTGGCTTCTGCAGTGTCCCAGAGTGGGTAGGGTGGAGCAAAGACGCAGCTGAGCCATGTGGGGCCACCCTCCACCCCACAGTGGAGGAGCACCTGTCCTGGGCTCAAGATAAAAGTCCATATTACATTTGAAGTTTTATGAGACAGATTAGCATTTAAGATGAGAAAACCTTTAGATACCCACCCCCCCATCTAAGAAAACACTTTTAGGAGGAAAAAAGATATGGGTCAGAAGACTTACTTAATTAGAGACACTGATAAGACTAAGTGCAAACACACCAGAGACAGAGTCAGGGCAGCCATAATTTTTCACATAGCCCAGACATATTGTGGCGCTTACTGTGTAAACAGAGCTGCCAGCAGGCTAGCTCCTGCCCAGAGCTGGCAAATACAGAGTCAATGAATAGTCAACAAAGACCTGCCACAGGAGAGCTTTCTTCTAGGGGACCATTCACCTCTGTTACACGGTGAGACAATCTCAAACAAACAACAAACAAGCAAACAAACCAATAATAAATAAATGAAGCAAGTTTTATTGTTGCTGTTTGTTTGGTTTGTTTTTTAGAACAAAAAGAAAAGAAGTGAGGCCAGGCATGGTGGCACATGCCTTTAATCCCAGCACTCTGGAGGCAGAGGAAGGCAAATCTCTGTGAATTTGAGGCCAGCCTGGTCTACACTGTGAGTTCTAGAATACCTGGGGTTATGTAGAGAAAGACCACGTCCCAATAAAGGAAAGGAAGGGAAGAGAAGGAAGGGGAGGGGAGGGGAGGGGAGGGGAAGGGAAGGGAAGGGAAGGGAAGGGAAGGGAAGGGAAGGGAAGGGAAGGAGAGGGAGAGAAAGGGAAGGAGAGAGAGAGAAGGGGGTGAGTGGTTCAGAGAAACTAAAGTTCCCAAAGAGGTGTAACATTTCCAATTGAAAAGGAATCTACCATGTAGCAGCTGAAATCATGCTTCCCACCACTTGAAGTTAAGCCAAAAGTTTCCAGAAATATGGAAACTTGGCATTTAAATGCAGGGCTAAATATATGAGTCTAAGAAGAGCCGATGCTGGCCTGGGAAGTGGGCTTGGCAGTTAGGTGCACTTGCTGCTCTTGCAGAGGCCCTGGGTTTGATTCCCAGCGCCCACACAGTGGCTCACTACCATCCATAACTCCAGTTCTAGGGGATCCGATCCCTCTTCTGACCTCCCTGGACAAAACGCACACACATGATACACAGACATACAAGTGAGCAAAGTGCTTATGCACATAAAATACATAAGTAAATCTAAGAGAAAAAAGAGCAGATGCTGTCTTCAGTTGGGTGCCTGGAAGAAGACAGGGGCACAAACACAGCTGGCTGAGCAAATGGGTTGCACAAACTGCCTGGCTGAGTAAGCCACTGTTTGGAATCACAGCGACTACTGCAGACCCGAGGACCACTGAGGATAGCCACCTAAAGATTAAATCAAGAACACTGAGAAATGTTTGCAGAGACACTCCATGAAACTGTCCTTTCTTTAATCCACCCTCCCCATCTGTGCTCCAGACTCCTACCATCTCTGGCCCCGTGGAGCATTTTGGACATATCATTCTCCCCTTGGACCCTCAAGTTACTATTTATACATAATGGGAGTTATGAATGGTTGAGAGTCACCATGTGGGTGCTGGGAATCAAACCCAGGTCCTCTGCAAGAGCAGCCAGTGCTCTTAACCACTGAGCCATGTCTCCAGCTCAACACTGGATCTTCTTAGGCTCGTGTATTTAAGTTTTATCTTTTCCCATTTGACAGATTCTCCCTCTGCCATTAGCTTGTCTCTGTCACGAGCAGTTTCCACCGCTCCACGACATCACAGTGACATCCAAATCGCCGAGCTCCTGGCTGTACTGCACCAGCATCCAGCAATGCTCATCTCGCCCCTTCCTTGGAACACACCCTGCCTTTCGGATCCCCTGACTCAGCGGCTGTCCATGTGCAGCTATGAGACACTGCAAAGCCCCTTTCTGGATGCTCTCCCCCGGAGACCTAATCATGATTTGAAGTGGCATCATTCTCTGCTCAAGTTTACAGTGTCTCCAGCTGAGCCCTTGCCTGAGTAAGGTCAGTATGTTTAGTATACACTGGACACATATCCACAATTCTTTTTTGATAGCACAAACTCAAAATGGCCTGACCTGCTACTCTACCACCATTTCCGAGCTTAGTGACTGGCAGGACAATCCACCCAATGGTGGACTCAAACATGACGTGCTGAAGCCAGTCACCTCCTAATACGGCATCATCTCCCGAGCTCTTTCCTGGTCGAGCTGATGTCATCTCCGCTCCTGAAAACCCATAACTCCTCTCCCCATAACTACACCACTGCTTCCTGGACCCACGTTCCAAATGCAACTTGCAATCTTTTTCAAGACCATGACATGCAATTCTTCCACTCTTCAAGTCATGGGGACCCCATACTACCTGCCCCCTCCCCACCAGGTTGGCTCTCTCCACACCGCCATCCCATCTCTCTCTGGGCTCCTCAACTATGCCCAGCCCTGTCCCAGCTCAGGACACCATTGGCCTAGAAAGCCTGTGTTGCCTGTTCAGTACTTCTGCCATCAACAGAGTACTTCCTCAGGGACATAACAAGCTACCCCCCCCCCCCAAAGCTATCTTCTTGGTCACTGTTCTCAGCACACCAGGCCTGGACTGTGTGCCTCCAGGGGGCAGCTGCCTTTAATCTTCTCCCCCGGTACTAACACAGCGCTGTGACTGTAAGAGACTGAAAGACACTGCTAGGCTCAAAGTATGACAAAGAGAATTCTTAATCTATTAAAAAAAAAAAAAACAGCATTCTAATTCAGAATTAACTTGGAAATTCATTAAAGGGCTCAGATTTACATACAGCTCTGAAACCTGGCGTATTTTCAAATAATGCACGTTGTTTATGAGTATGATCAGAATGTGTTTGTTCTCCAAGGATCACTTTGATCAGAATGTAGAAAACTTTTTTCCCGTAAAGGGCTCAATGGTTAAAAAGTTCAGGTTTGGGATAACAGAGTCACAAGCACTAAATTCTGCACTTGGACTGCAAAAGCAGGCTTAGACAATACTTCATGAACAGAGGCCTGTGCTCCAGCCAAACTTGTCACAGCCTCGGGTGACAGTTGACATTCTATCCAGACTAGTGTTGGGTCCCTGACTCGGATAAAAACAGCCATGGGCCACTGAGTCTTGGCCACTCCTGCTCTCTCTGAGGAGACAGCACTACGGGCCCAGGGAAGGCCGCCTCACGAGAGCTCAGGTTTTGAGTCACAATGTTTTCTTTGTGGGATGACACATTTAGAATCCGTAAAGTAAATATATAATTTTAAAGGATCTCAAAATGACCCTGCAGAAGAAAAAGGATAATTATGGGACAAGTAAAAGCCGGTTTTAAAAAACTCAACCAAAGTCTAGCATAGTAGTGAATGTCTTTAACCCAAGTGCTTGGGGGGGGGGCAGAGGCAGGCAGGTCTCTGTGTTTGAAGCCAGTCTGGTCTACAGAATGAATTCCAGGACAGCTAGGGCTACACAATGAGACAATATCTTGAAAAAAGAGAAAGAAAACCAAAAACCAATGCGCCCCCCAACACACAAAGAAAAACCAACAAAAAAGTAAACTAGTTTTATGTATATACATCTTGAGATAAAAGATTATCACGAAAGTCCATACTTCATTGTCCATGAAGCCTCCTATATGTAAAAACATGTATCATGCAATATACTCAAACCCAGCAAAGAAAAATGTATATGAAATGACTGAATTTAGCTCAAAGAATTAGAAAAGTCTTGGAGCAGCAAAGAGAAAGTTGTAGTAAATCTGAGTGACCAAATCTAAGACCTCAACAACAAAAGAGTACAAGACACTGAAAACAGCGAATAAGACCCACACTGACATCCACATACATGACAATTACCTGTAAACCCCAAAGACAGAATGCTGGAAACACTCAGAACCTACCGATTGTTTACAAAGCATGGCCCAAGAAACAATGTAAAGTCCTCAACCAATCATGCAAACAACATACCTCAAAAGGATGACACACACTAACTAGACAGCACTCAGCCCACAATTAGGAAGCTTATGGAACACAGTTTGCTTGTGTAACAGACTTAGCTCCTCTCACTGGGAGGTCTGACACTTGCCACGTAGCTCAATGCAAATCCAATGGGCAGTGGTTTACCCCCAACCCTTATGCCGGGTTACACAGGGTCCTGTCACCTACTCTTTTCTTTCCTAAGTCATTTCAGTGGGACAACAGAAAACAACTTTTGGACTTTGAGGGGGAAAAAGGTAAGACACACAAAGAAATTCAGGTTTGTCACAATGAGTAAATGACATGTTTGGAGTGACAGAATTAAGAGCAGGATAAATATTTCATAAGACCAGTTACTTACTAAGTTGGGATATATACTTGTTTCAGTTTGCTCTCGGCTTCGGCTGCTTTTAGGCGTTTCTAATTCGAAAGATGGACAAAACAGTTTACATAAAATGCATACTAATTATTAACATCTCATAGCCGTAAAAACACAAGAAGATAAAGATTACAGCACAATTCTTATGTTAAGATTTCTATCACAAACATATTCTAATGCTTTAGTAACTCGAGAACGTCATTCTAAGCTACAGAAATGTAAGCACACATAAAGTTTCTGAAATAGATTTTTAAAGTAAAGCAATGAAAAGTTCCACTTCCCAATCTTCTATGAGGAAACGTGTGTGTGTGTGTGTGTGTGTGTGTGTGTGTGTGTGTGTAAAATTGAACCTGGGGCCTCGACACATGCTAAGCACATACTCTACCACTGAGCTTCACTTCCAGTCCTCAGAGGACATCAACAATAGCTGTTCTTAGTTTTGTAAATTCAGTTTTCTATTTTAGTTCTTGTCTTTCTGGAAGGAAAATGTGCACATATTCTGTCCCACCACCACCACCACCACCACTACCACACACACACCAAACACTTTGCTTGTAAAAAATATTTAGAGATAGTTCTAAAACCCATGCAAGACTTGCAGTGAAGTCTACAAGAGGAAATGACTGTAGTTACTCTAAAAAAAAAAAAAAACTAATAAAGCTTTACCCTCAAATGATGAACCTTACGTAATAACTATTGTCATGTCTGAGACAGGGTTTGGCTGTGTAGCTGAGATGACCTGGAACTCACTACAGTTCTGGTCAGCCTTGCCTCAAACTCCCAAGTGCAGGGTTTACAGGTGCGCGCCTCTACACCTGGCTCTGATGCAAGCTTAAACCTCGGCTGAGATCACAAAACGCTGTACTGAAGCCAACCAGGAGCCAAATGCAGGAAAAGAGAGGGAAGGAGAGCACATATCAGATCTAGGTCCTGATCAATGTAAAATTAAAAGCAAATAGAAAGGGGAACAGCATGGTCCCCAGAGAGACTACAAACCCACCCTTCAGTTGTCCAACCAGGTGAAAACAAAAATATTCAGGGCTAACCTGAAACTTCAAATGGAGACAACATTTATTTAACTAAGTGTCTTTAGTGCTGTGCCTGTCCCTTCTTTGGGGACACTTCCTGACTTGAACAGCACAGGTTTCCAGGCAGCAGAGCCATCATTTCCACCACAGTTGTTTAAAATATGCACTTTCTGCATTACATATGGTGTTGACACTGGGAATTGTTCAATACACTATGGATTTCTACCCACTATTCATGACCACGGCAACTCCTGGCATGTGGGAGCCATCCTTAAGATGCATTTGTACAGCATCCAGTACAGCAAGCCACTGGACAGCTTGCACATTTAGGCAAATGCTGTCTGTTTTTAATCTCTGCCTTGTTCTGCATGTGACTGTAAGACTCTAAAACAGGCCTTTACTGAGGTCATTTCCCCAAAGGCAGGTTTTTCAAAATAAGTAACTAAGAGCAATATGAATTTAGGACATTTGGGAAGAACTCAAATATTAAATGGTTCCCTCCTTTTAGATGACTTTGGAGGAGAAAGCATCGAATTACAAAGACTAAGGCTATCATACCCAAGCTTGGTGGCAAACACCTGCAACCCTAGCACTCCAGTCTAAAGCAGGAGGAACTCAAGTTTAGGAACAGCCTAAGCCACCCAGTGAGACCCTGTCTCAAAATAACAAATGTGTTACAATTAAGGTCAAAAGCTGAGGGGAGGACTGGGCATGCAGCTCAGAGGCAGAGTGCCTACCTACCATAGACTAGGCCTTAGGTAAGCTCCCTAGCACTGCAGAAAAGACCTCAAACGGGGTAGGCTCTAGAGCTTGCAGAACAGACCTATAAAAATGTCATGTAAGGAGGTTTCAGAAAATCATAGAAGCATCTGAGTTTGTAAGGCCAATGGCATCAGGCTCAACTTTTAATCCATAGACATATCGTCCATGGGTTCATGACAGGGCTGGATTTCTAGTATACCCCCCTTGTCATAAAGAGATGAAGCCCCAGCCATACAAGTGAAACAAGGTCTCTGGACCCACATCTCTCTCTATTATTGTTCTCAAATTGTCAGGAAAGCAAATGCTGAGAACAGTGAACTATTAAGATGAAAATATTAAAAAAAAAAAAAAAGACGAAATGGTGGAATTTAAGTAGTTCTAGGAAAGGTCAAACGGGCTCGGGATTAGTACGTTGCTAGCCAACACTGACAAACAGAAAGCGCGCTGAATGGTGCTGGCGGCACGGAAGTTACCTGCTGCACGTATCTGTCAGTAGTTTTCCACATGTAGTAATATTCAATGATGCTCGTCAAGGACTTCCACGGGAGCTGAAAGACATTTACGATGATAATGAAAACAACCCATGGCATAGAGTGTTTTCCTTCAAAACCACTCACTGGAAATGAAGGATCTATATATTAGACTCATTCTAGAAATAAAATATTAAAAAAAACAACAAAATTAATTCTTAGCAAAAAGTATACGTTATGTTTATTAAGAGAGCCCATTCAATGCATGCATTCCATTCCTCATCAATTTGATTAAAAATTATAAACATCATCGCTGGGAAGATTTCCTGACTTACTCAGGAAAGGTTTTAGCCCCATGGAGCAGTGACAGGAGAGACTAAGAACAATTAATTAACTAATTAAAATGGGCCTTTGCAGCATGCTAGGCAGCTAGCTGCACTGCCGTAAGCTATATCATCACCTCTGATGCGTAATTTTAGAAATATTATTTAAACAGTTCGAGGCTGAGTTACTCTAACTTTCAAAGAGGTCACTGCAACTGGGTAACTTCTGTTGGTCTCTGGCGTAATATTTCTCAACCCTTTCCTGACAACTCTGTTTTGTTTTATTATAAATAAAACAACAGGCTACATCTCTAGGGAGAAAAGGACCTAGCTAACTGTTTTCTATTTAAAAAGTAAGTTTGCCTTTGCTGTTTTCCATAATATTAAAAAAAAATCCAACTCATGAGTTTTAGTGCAAAGAAGACACTCCTCAGAGCCCTCTGCAGATGAGGTCATCACCCAGACAACTGAGAGCGGTAGGCCTCCACAGTAACGGGGAGCATTGACAAGGCCATCTTGAATTGTGGCCCCTGTTGAGAAGGGAACTCAGCCCTTTGACTCTCAGCACGCCATAAGGAGGAGCCACTTAAAAACACACCCTTGGACACCTAGCAGCTGTGGGACTTGGGACCCACCTGGCACCATCCACGCCAACCTAGACTCCCCCAACTAATTTCCTTACATGTCTGTTCTAAAGAGAAGCCAGGAATTTCAGAGAAAGGCAGTGTTTAAGTTGGATGGCAACTTAAACAGTAGTTACAAGAATGTAACTTTTGCCGTTTGCAGGACCACGACACAGCCGCTAGCTCTGGGGTGCAGCTGAAGCAAATAGCTATTCAGGATTTTCAGTTTTAAACCCAGTGCATTCACCTAATGGAGTTGTCTGAAAGACGGTGAAAGCACCTTCAGCAGGGCCCCAGGTCAGCCATGCTGTGGTTTCTAAGCGGGCTAAGAGCCATTACTGTCTTCTCTCCTAAACAAACAAGGATCTGACAGGCATTTGCCTGGAAAGTGGAGAAAAGGAAGCCAAGTGGCCATGTAAGCCCAGCCATTTTACATTGTATGTCATCTGGTCCATGAAGCCCATACAGGCCACGCCCACACCAGTCCAGCCATCATACACTGTGTCATCTGGTCCATGAAAGCCCTTACAGGTCTAGCCCGGCACCAGCTCCTTCCAACCAGGGACAGTGGCCGGCAATTAACAACTGATTCAGTGCCCTCTCTCTCTCAACCTCAGCTATGGCTTCAGGAAAGCTCCTGCGACACCCATTCCCAAAGACATCAACACTGCAGCACCAGCAATGACCCGGCAAGCCACATTACACTCACCACCTGAATGGAAGGAAAGCTACTCCAGATAGCAGAGCATGGTGTGGCACGCCTCTAGCTCCACCTAGCTTTAGGATTCTGAGACAGGAGCATCAAGTTTGAGGCCAGCCTGGACTACATGACACCTTCTTTCAAAAACCAAAAAAAGGAGGCTGGAGAACACATTTTTTAAAAGATTTATTCATTTATTATGTATAGAGTGTTCTGCCTGCACACCAGAAGAGGGCACCAGATCTCATTACAGATGGTTGTAAGACACCATGTGTTTGCTGGGAACTGAACTCAGGACCTCTGAAAGAGCAGCAAGAGCTCTTAACCTCTGAAACATCTCTCCACCAGCCCCCAGAGAGACACATTTGCTGCTCTTCCAGAGGAAGAGCATCCACACAGTAGCTTACAACCTCCTATACTTTCCGTACTGGGGGATCCATTGCCCTCTTCTGGCTTCTATGGGTACCAGGCATGCATGTGACATGCAGACACACATGCAGACGAAACACTCATATAGACAGAATAAAAGTAAATAGTAAAAAGAGAAGAACTCCAAGTCTTGTGGTTCAGATCATCTCCTATTCATTGCTGCCCCAAACAGCATAATTGGCTAAATATGCAAACATAATAAAAGGCAGAAGACCGAATCGAAGAGTGGGTTTAGTCACGTGTGCTCACAGCCTGAAGGATGTGAGAGCTGCACCCGAAAATGGAGTAACCAGTGAAGTCATGGAACTGAGACTTGCCAGCATCAAAAGGATAATGTGTCGCTTGGATACTGCAGAAGGATCCCATGGGTGGATATGATGGACTTGCTGGAATAATCCTGCAAGCTAGCCAGGCAGTAAAACCCATTAGGTGAGAACTGGGATGGGGGTGGCAGATGCTAGGAGAGCTAGCCAGCTAGGGAGACTTTCCTGGTGGAAAATGTCTAGCAAAAGCAAGAAACTCAGATCTCTGTGGTCCTGTGAGACACAGAGCTGCAAAGATGGCAAACACGGACACCAGTGCAGGATGAAAACTCAGCCATAAAGCAAGCCCCAAAGCTGGGACAGCTGAATGGAGTCTGCACCCACCGCACCCCAAGACCTGAATGGACCAGACATGCTCATTTCAGCATACAAACACTATTATACTCAGTCTGCTAGTGTTTTTACAAGGTAACTGCATCTAAAAAAACCACACCAAAAAAACAAAACAAATCCCATGAAATGCAAAAAAGCTAAACTATAAATAACCCATTGTCAAGGAATTAAGTAACAGACAGACCTCAAGCTCTAAACTAGCCCCACATGGTAGAACACTCAAACTTTAAGATAACTGTATGGATACAGTGCACTTTCATGGGTGTGGGGTATGGGGAACAGCCCAGAACCTTGTGCAGGCTCACATACATCTCTATCCCCTGCCCCCAAATTAACACTGACCATGTTAGCTGGAAAGGAGGACAATATTTAGATTTAGGATTGCAGGGAATATGTAGGAATTTCATCAAGCAAAACAGAGAGGTATGGCTGATGTATGGTTTTGGCGTGTGGATTCTGTGGCTCGCATTCAACAGATCTGAAGCCACTGAGGCTGTATGTTAGCATCACAGACTGTCGAGCCTGTCTGGAAGCCACTGGGGACAATGGAGCTATGTCTTGCCAGACTGGGAGCCACAGGAGCTGTGTGGGGCCTGGGACCTGAGAATCAGGGATGAGCAGCCAGGGGTGGGCAGCTGAGCCACAGAGGTCAGTTTGGCCAAGCACCCAGGCTTATGATTCCATGGCTTTATCCCCAGTGTCCCGGGCTTTGTTTAGGAAGTGTGGGGTCACATGGCTCTGCCCTTCCAACTGCTTGCAGCTCAATCAGGTAGGATCTTGCAGGTCAAGGGAACAGGTTTAAAATCGTGCCTTGTTTTTGATTTTCAGTGAGGCCTAGCAATTCACAATGAGAGCCACAGAGGGGTAGAGAAAAACACCACACTCTATGTTCTCTGGTCCTCTCAGGAAACGTGGGATTGCTCCTTCCACCACAAACATGCAAACCCACAAGAAAGATGATGCTGCTGCCATCAAGGGAATGAGTACTGTGAGAAAAGGACCAGCCTAGAATGGGAAAAGAGAGGAGCCTGCACTGTTGTGAGTAAACTAGCTGAGGGCAGGATTCCTGCCACAGAGCAGATAAGCACCAAATTCTGAACTATCACCAGAACACAAAGGAACAGAAAACCCTTCACTTCAGCGTTTCTCATCTTATCCATTATGAGAACAGTGTGTTTTTGTCATTGCCGTGAGAGAAGGTCTCACATAGCCCAGACTGGTCTCAAAACTCTCCAAGTAGTTGCGTGTGGCCTTGAGCTCCGGATCCTCCCAAGCATTGGTTTTACAAACGCGAACCACACCGTATTTGGTTCAAGATTTTGTTGTTTATAACAAACAAACAACACCATTCATTTATTTGTTTCTTTGTTCATTATGAGTGTGAGTACATGCACACGCAGGTAGTTTGCGGTGTCAGTTTTCACCGTACACCATGTGAGTCCAGGGCATGAATCTCAGGTTAGAAAGCTGGGCAGTTAAGTGCCCTTACTGGCTTAACCATCTCATTGACCCAGAATAGGATCTTTGGGTGACTTTTGAGCTTGCACTTTTAGCTGTATTATGCTCATAACTTTTATATCAATAACACTGTACTGCTATGGCCACCTGACCATAAGTCTTTAACAAAGTGTAATTTCTAGGCTGGGCCGGGCAGTGGTGGCGCATGCCTTTAATCCCAGCACTCGGGAGGCAGAGGCAGGCCTGGTCTGTGAGAGGCCAGCCTGGTCTACAAGAGCTAGTTCCAGGACAGGAACCAAAAGCTACGGAGAAACCCTGTCTCAAAAATCCAAAAAAAAAAAAAAAAAAATTCTAGGCTGGCCTTGAACTTAAGATCTTCCAGACCCAGCTCCCTGACCATTAGGATTAGAGAGACCTGTCACCTGCCTGGTTTTGGAATTTAGTACTATAGCACATAACAGTCTAGGTGTGACTGAGGTTTTGTTGGGGAAGATTTCATTGATAACAACAACTTATAAGTACTGTGCCTGAAATCTAATGTATCAATCTACATTGATAAGTAACAATTTTGTTTTATAACTAATTCAAGAGATAGTCAACAAACTGAAAGGTATGGCGCCAGCTTATATCTAAGTGTGATAGTCAAGAGGTGGATCCTTAGGTCAGTACAGCAGTATACGCTTGTAATCCCAACACTCGGGAGGCAGACACAGGATGACCTGCCCAGATTTGTACCAGCTAGGGTTACATAGTCTGGCCCTGCCACAAAGAAATAAGCAAACAAACAAACATTTTTACAATGAAAATGAAGGATAGTTATAGAAAGCAATTTATGAAGATCTCAAGCAAAACTTCTTTTTCAAAGAGGATAAATTAAACTAAAGAAAGCAAGACTTCTGGGGTGGCTGTGCAGTTATAATGCCCGCTACTCCAAATGCTGAGGCAGAAGGTCGCAAGTTCAAGGGAAGCCTGAGCAACTTAGCAAAACTCTGACAAAGAAGGCTTGAAAGGGCTTGGGGTTAGAGCTCAGTGATGGAGTGCTCCCGACACACCAGAGGCTTGGGTTTGCTCCCTAGGACCGAAAACTTAAAAGTAGGTCTTCCTGTCAGTAGGCATGTTAGGTGTGCTCATTACTTCTCAGTATGTGTACATCACGCTGTGCAACTTGAATACACAATTTCTCACTGAATCTAAAAGGGAATAGATTTTAGACATAATAAGATTGATTCTAAGAAGAACACTGCATATCATTAAGAATCAAAGACAAGCTAGGGGCAGTGGTGCTGCATGCCTTTAATCCCAGCACTTGAGAGACAGAGAGGCAGGTGAATCTCTGTGAGTTCAAGGCTAGCCTGGTCTACAAGAGCTAGCTACAGAGAGAAACCCTGTCTTGAAAAAAAAAAAAAAGAAAAAAAACAAAACAAAACAAATCAGAGACAGCTGGGAACTGAAAAGCAAATCCGGCTCTTTTGTTTGGTCAAGGTTACAGCTATGTTACAAATACACATCAACAATTGGTAACACAGCTAGAGGAAGTCTGAGCAGACAGAGAGAGTACACACAGACTGTAATATTTAGCACAAATGCTCAGAAAAGTCCATATTTCCTCTTGGAAATCAGAGAGCTACAGAGGGTAAATTCATGCAACCAAAGTGTGTGTATTCCAGGAGCTCAGGACTCCTCGCCCTGGGTCATAGTCACAATACAAAGCAAATGTCAACTGCTTCCTTCTAAGTGACCCTTCATTCTATTTTAAGCGAATAAAATCACTGTCAGTGGCTGAGGGTGTGGCCAGTGGCAGAACACGTTCTCAAGGCCCTGGCACCAACAGAACAGTTAGAGGTGTACTAAACGTGAAAGAGTTAACAAACAGAAATATCAACATTTCAGTCTCAACAGCTCATTCATGGTTTTCCACTTACAAAGTCCTGACGGATGTCATTGAAGTCTTTGCCATACTTCTCCAGTGCTTCTTCGAACAAGCTGGCTTCGGAGGCCGACCACTCCTCCATCTCATCTCTGCACAGGACTGGTCCTCCAAGTGGCACAAGGACACTGATGGCACTGCTCAGGTCATAGCTGTGCCTGTACAGTGTATCCATGGCATGGAACTGGGGAGAAGAAAAGCGAGCAGGAACTGTCAAGTGGGCACCCACACCTGCAGGCCGGCGAAAGCCAGAGCACTGAATGCAGATACGCATAATTAACAGGATCCTTAGGAGTTCCTTTAAAAAACAAATCAAACAGCCAAACACCACCGAATAATTGTTTGAAGAGAATGCTTACTGGTAAAAGAATGCTAAGGTATTTTAAAAATACATCCATTTGGAATGACAACAACCATGAAGATCCAAATGCTCAAAATATTCAATTAAGAACACAATCAATTTGACTTCATGATTTCATTTACTTAAAAATACCCGAGTCACTGCAATGACTGGGGAAGACTGGCAGAACCAGCACTGACTGGGAAGGCGTACTCTGCGTGAAAGAGAGAGCATTGTATTAAAGACATTAGTTCATGTTAGAGAATGATGTACTATCAAAAAGAACACGAGACAGAAAGAAAAATCAGAATAGTGCATCATATTTAAAGCAAAATTATATATTTGGGCCAACGAGGTGGCTCAGCAGTAAAGGTGCTTGCTGCCAAGCCTGACAGCCTGAGTTCAATTCCCTCACCCACATGGTAGGAGAATCGACTCCATAGCACATATATACTCACACACATACATATATACACATAAAATAAATACATAAAAGAAATAGATATTCATAGTAAACACAAAGCAAACAACAAGATTAGAAATCCATGGTTATAGAAGCCGGGCCAGTGTGGGCTTCTATAGATGCTAAGCAAGGGTGATTTGAGAAGGGGACAGAGGTGAGGACATATTTAGGAGGGTGTGTGGTGTACTCCCCATCATGCACCAAGTGTTGGGCTCGAATCCATGCGCCCTACTCGGATATAAAACTTCAGAACTTTTGATAGTTTATTTACTGAAGAGAGTCCTTTACACATGTGCACAGAAGTTTACAAATGCCAAGAAAACAGCAAAGTAGGAGGTCAGCCCTGCAAACACACACATGCACGTGCATACATGCACACACACACATGCACACACACGTGCGCACACACATGCACATGCATACATGCACACACACACCCCGACACGCAGACTGGCTGGCAAGGCTATCCTGCCTGTGTCCATCCCACTATCCACGCAGGCTTTGGAGCACACGAATGCCAAGCCTTGCATCTTTTACACCATCACAACAGGTCCATCATTTAAAACTTCACAAGTGCACAGGGTGTGGTAGCGCACACCTTTAATCCCAGCACTTGGAGGCAGAGCAGGCATCTTTGAGTTACAGTCAGTTACACAGTGAGAGTCTGTCACTCAATTAAACAAATACATTAAAAAATAATTAATTAGCCAGGTGGTGGTGATGTGCACCTGTAATCCCGGCATTCTGGAGAGGCAGCGGCAGGGGGAGCTCTGACTTCAAGGCCAGCCTGGTCTACAGAGCAACTTCTAGGTCCAACCAGGGCTACGCAGAGAAATTCTGCCTCAAAAAAACAAACAACAACAATAATTAATTAATTAGTTAAGGTATATATTTACAGTTGGGCATGGTAGTACATGTCTGTAATCCTAACACACTCAGGAGTGAGGCAGGAGGATTACAAATTTGAAGCCAGCCAACCAGTGAAATCCTATAACACAACAAGGATGCATGTACACTGTGAGACATTAACCAAAATGGCCAATGCGGACATAGAAATTGAATTTGTTGACAAAGCCAAAGGCAGCAACTGGTACAGATCTGTTTAGTGACTGAACAGGGTTTGGCGTTAGCTTTAAAACAAATCTCTGGATTCCACAAAACGAAAAGCTGAAGAGAAAATGCCATTATCAGACTCCCTTGACAGTCACAGCTTGGCGACCATCTGAGGTGCTCGTTTGCTGCAGGCGCTGGTGATGGACAGTGTTCTCTGAGAGAGGTTCTCTCTGCCGCGCCAAGGCTTCAGAACGCTGGCCCTGCTCTTGCCTCCTGCTCACACCTGGTCAGGTTTCACAAGCAATGAATCCGATTCTCTAGCTAGCCTTACCCACTAGACCCTGTGATTTAGCTGTTTCTTTTATCTCCAAATCTGAGTACTCTTTCTGACCATCTCATTATAAAAACAGAGAGATCAATAGTACCTAGGGAGTCTTTCAACTAAGGATAGAGCCATAAACTGTTACTTTAATGTCCTAAATTGACAACTGGTAATAAAATTGAAAAAAAAAAAAAACTGAAAGACTAGGTAGTGTTCAAAAGCCAATCCCACCACTTGGGATGTGAAGGCAGGAGGATAAGGAGGTCAGTGTTATCTCTGAATATAAGTCTGTCTCAAAAAAACAAAAACAACAAAGCCAATGATTATACAAGGGCTCAAGTATAGCTCAGAGCCAGACTTGCTTGAGGTCCCAGGTATGGTCCTCAACACCCCCTCTAAAACCTTATGCAAATTCACTGTGGTGATGAAATTCCTCAAAAGGTAAAAGCTAGTTGGAAGAAACCACACGATAAACCACAGCACAGGCCATGTGCAAGGATGTCCCCTGTCTCCAGCCACTGAGAAGGCTCAGACTGCAGGACAGCTTCCAGGCCACCACCAGCTTCAGCCAGCATTAAAACCACGGGACTCATCTCAAATAAGTGAACTGCAGCTTGGCGGAGAGGGCAGTGCAGTTGGTAGGAGCTGGCTGAACAAGGCACCACTGAACTTGAGGGGACAATTTCACAATGGAAACCAGAAGGTCCTATCTCTCATAAGGCCCTTTAACCTCATCTTTCTAAGACGCTCAGATGTTGCTTTTTGTGTGGTCTAACTGTACTCTTTAAAAGCTTTAAGTAAAAGAACATAGTTGCTATACCCAAAGAAAACAACATTCAATAAAGAAAATAGCTGGGCGGTGGTGGCGCACACCTTTAATTCCACCACTCAGGAGGCAGAGGCAGGCCTCTGTGAGTTCGAGGTCAACCTGTCTACAGAGTAAGTTTCAGGACAGCTAGGGGCTACACAGAGAATCCCTGTCTCTCTAAAAAACAAAAAATAAACAAACAAAAAAAAAGGAAGAAAATTTAAGAGACCACACCAATTGGGTGGTGTGCACTCCAGAATACGGCCTGGGAGGACACAAAGGACACGCTGGGGACCCTACACTGTATCCACACCTAGTAGTGCTTTTTACACTCGTGTATGCAACCATGAAGTTCACTCCGTGCATGAGATATAGTGTACATATATCTCAACTTAAAATTTGAAAACTAAGCATAAAACAACCCAATTCCCCCCAGATAAATGCTTCGCAGACCACATCTTTTCAATAAATACAAACACACGTTGCAAGATCCATTCAAATCTAAATTTTGAAAATCACAACCGAGCACAAGCTGTTCCCTCTGCCAAAAAGCAAAGGTGTTGTCACATTTCATCCCATTCACAACAGATGGCAGTGACAAACAGAAGTATTTTAGGAGGAAGACTGACAGGGAAGTCTCGGTGGAGGGGTTTTCATCTTTTGTTCATTAAATAGAACCACGCTGTGGCAAACTGGTTTGTTGGTCAGCAAACATTTCACCTTCTGCCCTGGACCTCCCTCTGGAGGCTACTCTGCCCCCACACAGATATTGGACTTTTGGCACATGATTTGCTTGGCCAGTAGCATGTTAAGATATAGGACATAGCTGGGCAGTGGTAGCACACACCTTTTATCCCAGCACGTGGGAGGCAAAGGCAAGGTGGATCTCTGAGTTCGATGGTAGCCTGGTCTGCAAAGTGAGTTCCAGGACCAGGGCTACAAAGAGAAACCCTGTCTCAAAAAAAAAAACCAAACTAGAACAAAAATAGAGGGGGGGAGGTATATGAGACAACCAATCTTTGGTGTGTGTTTGTGCGTTTGGCTTTGGTCTCTTGTGCTACTGCCTTGTGTTCATGGAGGCTAGGAGATGCAGGAGAGTGGACCTGGCCCAACGCATAGCTTTGCTGAGTCTAGTTCACCGGAATCCAGACAATCTGCAGCTGAGTGGCTGAGATGAGGCATGCACTGGATAAGCCTCTGAATTCTGGGGCAGTGTGTGAGCAACGCCATTTGAGAACCCACATTTGTGGAGGTGCTCCAAGTTCTGGGGGCGGCCACCTTCGCAGCTGGTCTAGATGGAGCTGTTTCAGCTCAAGATTGATGGGTGACGCAGGGCGTAAGAGCCCTACTCTGAGACAGGGCTTCAGTGCGCCCCATCAGTTGGCTGTGACTTCCATTCAGACTGCAGGGAGGACCACCTCTGCTAGTTTTGCAATCCCTGCACTACAGCAGTGTGTGGCCTGAAGCTTACTAGACTCTGCTTTCCAGGAAATGCACACTTTCCATGTGCCCCCACTGCACAACACTACCTTACACGCACATGTTTAACACTAATTACTCATTTGCTCAGGCACAATTTCATAAAAACCTTACATTTTTAAAGCCAGCACAAATTACAGCATTCAAGATATTAAGTCAGTTCAAAACGTACTGAACTCAAGCTTTCTCTCTGAGCAGAAGGTGAATATAAACTCTTAGGAATAAATCTGAAACTATGATCCAAACAAAAGTTTTAATATATAAAAAGTGTACCATCCACTTGCAATTTTTGTTTTGGTAGGAACAAAATACAGAGAAGGTTATATTTCCTTTTTTAAAAAAAAATAGGGAAAGGATTTACTTTTTAATTGAAAATATTCTTTTCTCATATAATATATCCTAATTACAAGCCTCAGAAGAAATTACAGTTGGGCATGGTGGTGCAGACAGATAATCCGAGCACTTGGGAGAAGGAGGCAGGAAGATCAAGAGGTCAAGGCTAGACTCAGATATATACTGAGCTTCAGGCTAGCCTGGGCTATATGAGACGGCCTCACACCACACTCCCGTACCCCTCTGTTGTACAGGACTGAGCTCTGAGCCCAACTGCTGCCACCATCCTGAGTTCAGCTGTCCCCATGTGCAGACATTCATCACAGCTAGACTTGCTGACAATTGATGCTCCTTCTGAGTACAGAAGGGGGGTGGGGAGGAGAGTG